CCCTGAGATCCCAGGACGTCCATGGATTTCTGATGCGGGGGCGTCGCGATGTCCACAGCCAAGCCATCGGAACCCAAGACACCCAGGGCACCCTGGAGGCAAACACGGTGATTCTTGGTATGGGTCTCCACTGAACTTGCAGAACACAGAAAACGTGTCGCGGCAAACGCAGCCGTGCAAAAAGCGCCGTGCCCGCAATCCCAGAGGTCAAGTCTGCCAAACAGATGCCGCAAAACCGAACCCGCTGCTACTCCTGCTGTTAGCTTTACCCTTGCTTTTACGCTTGAATTCGCTTATGGAGCTTTTTACTGCTTGTGCACGAGCACCGCCGACGTCTCCGCCAGAGTTCGCTCCAAAAGGTCCGCCAGAGTCTCTGGGCAGTGCTCGCTGGGCACGCCGACATTTTGCGGACGAGGCCCACCCCTGTGACCCTCTGGAGATCCAGCACTTTGCGCCCTTTGTTCCGGGTCCTTCCGGGGTCCTTTTTTGGCGTCTCTCCCCTCCCCCTCCCCCTCCCCCCCCTCCTCCTCCGCCTCCTCCGCCTCCTCCGCCTCCTCCTCACCCTCCTCCTCCGCCTCCTCCTCCTCCCCGCCCCCGCCGTCCTCCCCGCCCCCCGCCGTCCGTCCCTTTGGCGCCTGCCCCCGCCGCCCTCCCCGATCCCCCCTTTCCGCCCGCCGGCTCCGCCCGCCGCTGCCGCCCGCTCGCCCAACTCCGCCCGCCCGCCCCCCCCCCCCCCCCGCCCTCCCCGCCGCCCTTCCGTCTCCCGCCCAGCCGCCCCCCTGGGGCGCCTCCATGCCCGCCACCTCGCGCCCGCCCCCGCTCGCCCCTGCTCGCCCGCCCTGCTCGTCCGCCGCGCCTGCTCCTCCTCCTCGCCCGCTCCGGCTCGGCCCTCCCGCCCTGCCCCGGCCGCCCCGCGAGCTGCCAGAGCCCCGAGCTCCTCCTCCTCCTCCTCCTCCTCCTCACCCTCCTCCTCGTCGTCGTCGTCGTCGTCCTCCCTCCTCCTCCTCCTCACCCTCCTCCTCCTCCTCCTCCTCCCTCCTCCTCACCCTCCTCCTCCTCCCTCCTTCTCTCCTCCTCCTCCTCCTCCTCCTCCTCACCTCCTCCTCCTCCTCCTCCTCCTCCTCCTCCTCCTCCTCCTCTTCCTCCTCCTCCTCCTCCTCCTCCTCCTCCTCCTCCTCCTCCTCCTCCTCCTCCCCCTCCTCCTCCTCGGAGCTCGCGTGGATGCTTGACGGCCTCGAGCCTGTTGCCGACATTGGTCGCAACCCTGTGACCTGAGCTGCCCCGATACGCAACACGCAGCACGCAGCGTATTGATGCGGAGCTCAGCACGTAGACTGAACACGTACGTTTTGAGCACGGACGTTTTGCACACGGCACGTGTTCCGTTTCAAAACGTGCGTATCAGAGCAGCCAAGCTTGTGACTTGTAACAGTCGGTACATTACTGTCTCGTCTCCATGACAGACTAGCAGGCGGTGGCACACTGGCGGGAAGCACTCGTGGGTGCTGCATCTGTTCCTCTGGGCGTGAAAAAGTCCCTGGGAGGTCGGAGGTTTCTGGGCGGTTTGCCGTCGTCGCCGTCGCCGTCGCCGTCGCCGTCGCCGTCGTCGCCGTCGCCGTTGTCGTCGTCGTTTGGGATCATAGCGAGTTGGCCTAATGGGGTCTCGCCTCGTTGGGTCCCGCTTCATATGGTTGCGTCCCATGAAATCCCGCATCGTCGGGTCTCACCTACCCTTCTCACTTGACCTCAGGTGGTGCAACTCGTTGTGGTCGTGACCGTTCGGCGGTTCCTTCTTCAAGATCCGAGGTCGATCGCTGCAAAACCTTCCACACTTCCAACTAGAACTGCTTGCGCTGCTGCGGCACTGACCCCACGGAGCGTGTAGATTTCGGACGAAAGTGAGACCCGCCGCTAACTATACATGCGCCGGAATCGATGACCTTGTCTTCTCAATGGTTGCACGAGGGGGCACTCTGCCGGACCCCCCCCCCCCGGGAGAGCGCGAGAGTGGCGACGGCTGCACGCGCCTCAGCAGCCAGGGGCAGGCGCAGAAGGCCGGGGACGCGAAAAAGGAGGGGGAGGGACCTCGCCATCGCTCAGACGTTCCTTCCCTGTGCATTATTCGGTGTCGTGCGTGCTTTGTGGTCACTGATCCAGGATGCTCCTCGAGAGCCCCCGCCGAGAAAAAATGCACACGCCCGAGCGATGCCAGGGGGGTATTCCAAAATGGTAGAAAAATGCTCCAAAATTATCCCAGTGCGACCCTACCTAGGAGTTGGACCCCCTAGGAAAGCAGCATTAGTAGTAACAGTAACACTAAGCTAAAGCTAAGCTAAAGCTAAGCTAAAGCTAAGCCACAGCTAAGCTAAAGCTAAGCTAAAGCTAAGCTAAAGCCAAGCTAAAGCTAAGCTAAAGCTAAGCTAAAGCTAAGCTAAAGCTGAGCAACAGCTAAGCTAAAGCTAACATCTAAGCTAAAGCTAAGCTAGAACTAAGCTACATCTAAGCTAAAGCTAAGCCAAATCTAAACTACAGCTAAGCTAAAGCTAAGCTAAAGCTAAGCTAGAGCTAAGCTAAAGCTAAGCTAAACGCTAATCGAAAAGCTAAGCGAAACGCTAAGCTAAAGCTAAGCTACAGCTAAGCTAAAGCTAAGCTAAAACTAAAGCTAAAGCTAAAGCTCCCAGGAGACTGGGGGAACCGCTCCCAGGGGACTGGGGGAACCGCCCGGGGAGCTTTGCACTGCCCGGCCCCTTTAAGCTAAGAGAGTAAGAACCCTTCTAGGCAGAGTCTAGGTAGGGAAATAGTTCCCCGACTATTTTTTGACTCGTTTGGAATTTTCCTCCTGTAGAGGGACAGGCCCGCCTTTAGAAAAGGGAGAGGGATGGGCCGTCGTGTGCTGCTGATGCCCGTGAGCGCAGGTGTGGCCCTGTCGAGTCGGGTGGGGCTGGGCTCCCCCACCCCCGGAGGCGGAGTGCTGGGGAGGAGGGCGGAGGCGGCGAGAGGAGACGGGGGAAGGTGAAGGGGCCCTGGGACACACATTTTTCTGGGTTTTTTGTCTTCCTCCCAATTCCTATACATATTTTCAATATTTTCCTGGGAATCGGCGATTCATTGTGTCTGTGTGTTTTTTCCCCTCCGGGGGGGGGGGAGCGGAAGGAGCAGCGGCCGCTCTGTGCAGCGAGGGGGCCCAGACACAGGGAGGCCTGGGAGCAGCACAGCTCGCCGAACCACTGCAGGGCAAGCATGTTTTTTTGTTGCTATAATCGGCGGGCAAAGCGCGGCCTCACTCCTCCTATATGAAGCGGCCCCAGGACACACATAAGTACACACAGACAACAGGATTCCGCAGGTTTTTCCAATCACTTTCTGGAGCTTCGTTTCCCCCTCCCCCCCACACTTCCCATATTTTCCTGGGAGAGTCGACGATTCATTGTGTGTGTGTTTTTCCCCTCCTGAGATGAGCACTTCCTCGCACGCCACCGCCCTGCCTGGCAACAGGCCGCTCCCTGGGCCCCTGCGGTACGGTGCGCACGACCCCCTGCTGGCCGCAGACCTGCAGGCGTGCACAGAAACTGTCGTAACGGAGCATCTCCTTAGGGCAGAGGGCTCAGGGTTTATGTTGCGCCCATCGTACTTCAGGACCATGGTTTAGAGATAATATCGAGCACCCGGAAAGGTGTCGAGAAGGTGTCGAAAGAGTGTCGAAGCAGTGTCGGACGAGTGTCTCCCAGGGCCCGACACGTGAACACCCTCGAGTTTCGGCACTTTTTTCTGGCGCTCGAAACTCTTTCTGGTGGTCAAGGCTAGAGCAGGTTAGAACATCATAAGGCCCGGGGTGAAATCAATATGGGCTTCTGCGCCTCGAGAATCAATCCGTCTTGTGGTTCACCTCTTGCAGATGCAGGCCTCGAGCATCCATCGAGACGGCACTTCAGGTTTCACCCTCTGCCCTCCGCGCGGAGAAAATGCCCGGCGCACGCAGGCCCGCGTTGACTTCCTGGGCTGGCGCTGGAGCCCCCTCCCCCCGGCGCGCGGAGCCCGCCGGGGGCGGCGCCAGAGGCACCGCCAGGGGGCCCAGCGCCGATCCGAGAGATCCACGCGGACTTCTGGCAGTCTGTGATTCTTGAGGGGGCCCTGGGACACACAAACACGTACACACAGAGAAACGGATTCCCCATGTTTTCCCATCTCTCCTGGGTTTCTGTCTTCCACCCCTCTTCCCCTATTTTCCCATGTTCTCGGGGGAATCGACGATTCGTTGTGTCTGTGTGTGTGTGTGTGTGTGTTTTTCCCTCCTGAATTATGCCAGGCCCTTCATCCTCGAGATCGCAACAGAAGGGTCTGTGCACCATCCTGGGGCCTGGGATGGCCCCGGCCAGGCGCGCTGGCCCTGTGCCTCAGCGCCGCCTGCGGATCCCGTGCGCTGCTTGTGGGCGGCCGCGCTCTTGCGCCGCCGGCGTGCACGACGGGACTGCGACCGCCGCCCGGACAGAGACTCGTGGGCTCCCCCAGGCCGCGCGCGGCCAGCGGCCAGCAGCGCGCCACGCCGCGGCGCGATGCAGACGCTGCGGTGAGGGACTTTTTGCTCCGCGTGCCGCGGCGGCGGCCCCCGCGACGCGCTGAGCCCTGCAAGCTGAGGCCGCGTCGCTCTGGCTCGTGGGAGGGGGGGGGGCGGGGGCGAAAGCTGACTGGCGGAGCGTCGCCGCTAAGCACAAGCTCCCGAGCGTAGGTTCGTACGTTTAGGTCGGGCGTGTCCCCCCACAGGGTGATCTCTGGGCGACAAATGAAACATACTCACAACGTGCCCCCCCAAGTGGGCAACACGAGTCAACAAGTCGTCCCCCATACTAATTTTGACTCTTTGTGAATAGTCCTCCTGTAGAGGGACAGGCCCGACGTGAGCGTACGCAGCAGGGCACCACGGCTCCTCTGCCCAGGCCGGAGGGCCTGTGAGGAGGGGCGGCGCGGCGTCGGACCCCTGCGGGCGGCTGACGGGGAGCCTGTTACAGTCCATCGCTTCTTCTGTGGACCAGCGGCGCTGTCGACCAGTCGCCTGCTATCTGGTCGGCGTCGCCAGCGCTCTCCATGACTGAGCACAGCGAGTCGTTCCCTGGCATGCCGTCAAACGACGGGCCGACGCAGAAAGAGTGGAGGTGCAGCCAGTGAACCGTCACGCCGCTGGGTAGGTGGATGCACTGTCGCACTGGGCCTGAGTGACCGCGACCTCGATATTCGGAAAATCCCTGCTGGAGCATGATGTGAAGCATCTCCTTGGCCAGGCTAGCACCCTTGGCTTGCAAGTCGGCGAGATCCCTAATGTACGAGAGAGGGATGGTCAACACAGGTCTGATTGGACACCCTTTTGCATTGCGACGGTTGTCGAATGTCACCGCGTCAGCGGCACCAATCCCGCCGCAGCCTGGGTTGCCGGCGTACACGCAGAACTCCGCCTCGTGGCAGTCCTCGCAGCCGGTATAATTGATTATGCCCCAGTTCATCACCGCGACAGGCTCGGAGTCCTGACCGCCGCGCGCAATCACTTCCTCGAATATCTTGTTGCGTTCTGCGATCGTGTTGGGCCTGCCGTCAGGGAAAGCTGGGGCTATCGCCAGCATGCCTGCAGGAGACTGGCTCATAGTAAGGCAGTTGTAGATGCCCTTGCCTTTGAGGCCCACAGTGCCCCACAGGCTGGTCTGCCCAGAGATGGTGTGGGTGTAGTCCTCGTGGGTGCACTGTTGGAGGTCGCACTCGTCCTGGCTCGGCGCCTTCCCGTGCCAAGTTGCTCGGGAGCGAGGCGCACACTTCGTGCCTGCCATCGGGAGCTTGTCGCCCCAAGGGTTTTTCGTCGCCCTTTCCTCGCCTGGAGCGTGCATCGAGCACGCCTTTCGAGCAGGGGATCGACTACGGAATTGGTTTACCCCCACATGCATTTGTTCGTCAAAACCGTGAAGCAAAAACGTAGAATGTTCGTTCAACGAACATGCTACGAGCGTTTTTGGTTTCAGGGCTTCGGCGAGACCATGCATTCTGGGACACAGGAGTTCTGTACTTCGTCGGTCCCCTGCTCGAGCCTTCGTCTCGTTGCTGTACGTGCACTCGCGTGGGAAGCACGCGCACTCCTGAAGGGGCCCTGGGACACACAAGTAAATACACACAAATAAACATAAGCAGATTCCCCATATTCTCTAATATCTTCTGGGTTTCTGTCTTCCCCCCCACTTCCCATCTTTTCGCATATTTTCTGGGAATCGACGAATCATTGCGTCTGTGTGCTTTTGCCCCTCCCGAACTCCATCGGGCCACGCGAGGCCCAGTGGCCGGACGCCAGGGCCACTGGAGTCACGAGGGCGTTCGCCGCGAGGAGGCCCACCGGCCGCGCCCGCGGGCCCCGCCAGGGCCGTGCCGATCGCGCCGCCCAGGGGAGGCAGCGCGAACTTGGCCACCGGGAAGGCCGAGGAGGAGGAGGAGGAGGAGGACGAGGAGGAGGAGGAGGAGGAGGAGGAGGAGGAGGGAGGAGGAGGAGGAGGAGGCGGAGGCGGAGGCGGAGGCGGAGGCGGCGGCGGCGGCGGAGGCAGAGGCGGAGGCGGCGGAGGCGGAGGCGGAGGCGCGTGAACTTGGCCACCAGGAAGGCCGGGTGCTGCCAGAGGTGGTCCTGGCCCAAGGTATCCTACAGTTTCGGGGAGACGTAAGACTCGGGCACGGGGGGACTCGGGTTCGCCCGACGGGGCCGTCACAAACATGACGAGACCCGATCTGAAATTTGACGCGAACTCCCGCTGCAGACATCCCACGAAAACGGAACCGTCAAAATCCAGGACGCGCTCGTCAAAAAATGTCGGCAAACCCGAGTTCCGGCTTACTCGACTCTTACGTTTCCCCGACAGTTGGAAGCTGGGCGCGGGCCGGCAAATCCGTGGCTGCCAAAACGGTCCTCGGAAGAAAAAGCAGGCTCCCGGAATCAAGCTCAGCGCGCTGAATCGTGACCCGGCTGCTCCAGGGAAGAAGAACAACAACTTCCCGAAGCTTAATTCTAGCAGCCACGGGTTTGCCAGCCGTCGCCCGGCTTCTGATACAGCCACTCCGTATGATAAGGATGCGCGGTGAGGATGCAAGGGCCTTGGAAGGCCATGTCGACGCTCTTCGAGCGGGGCGCGGCCAGCGAAAGCGGCCAAGGATGGGCCAAAGGGGAAGGATGCAGGGGAAACCTTGCAAAGCCGCTCATCCTGACTATGAGGGTCGACTGTAAGCTCTTCGTACCCTTGCGGAGCTCCTGGGGCCCTCTGGGCCTCGGTGCTCTGGAAGCCACCTGGGCCTCCCCGGGAATCCTGCGGACACTTTGGGCCAGGGGCATCTTTGGCACCACCCGAGAAGGTGGTGCCGAAAGCACCGGCACCCACCGCGTGGTTCCAGCGGCGCTGGGTGGTGGTGTAGGTGCCCTCGGGGCACATCATGCCTGCCTTCTCGTGGCAAGCGCCGTCTTCCTGCGCCTCGCCTGCGGATAGCTCGGCGAGGACCCGCCGCTTAATGGCCTCAACATCCTCGTCAAGATGTTTCCTGCAAGAGTTCTTGGTCTTCGTCCAACTGTACGTAGCGTCTTTCAGGGATGTATCGATCCATTTCACCGTCTCCCAAAGATACGCCTCGTCTTTGCTGTAGTCATGGTACCAACTCCGCATGTTTTGAAGGTGTTCCACGAGATCCTTCGCATCGATCCGGTGCTTTACGCTAGTCTCCAGAGGCTTGCAATCAGATGTATGGTTTGGGCACGCGCTGTCAGTCATACACTCGTAGGACAAGTCTGTTGACCCTTTTGCGCAACGATCGAAAGCTGTATCACCCGCCACCGTGCCTGCAAGGAATGTGCGTATGTTAGAAAATGCTCTCCTGATACTTTTTGTGAATAATTCCTAGAGCCGACCGACCCCCCCTCTTGTCGCACACATCGCTACAACACCGTCCCCCTTTCCCGGAACCGGCTCAGGAGAATTGTCGAAAACAAGTTGTGTTAAAAGCAAATCGGGGAGGGTCAAAACAGGCCCTCCACGAGGGTCGATGAGGCGCCCAGAAAGTCCCCCCAACCCCCCCAGGAGGTCCCCAAGAAACCACCGGGAGGTCCCCAAGAATCCCTAGGAGGCCCCAAAAGGCCTCCAGAGGCCCCAGAGAGGTACCCAAGACGCTCAAAGAGGCCTCCAAGAGCTAGGCCCCCAAGACGCCCCACGAGGCCCCCTGCCAGCAGGCCGCCAAGACGCCCCCAAAGGCCTCCACGAGACCCCGCGAGACATCCCAGGGCACTCCGGGAGGCATCCAAGAAGCCTGTGGCCCACGGGGGCCCCCCCGTGCTCTTCGAATGACGCCACGCTCCCCAACAAGGGCAGCTCACCTGGGCATCGTTCCTGGGTGGTCTGGTGTGTATACTTTTTGGTATGCGGGCGCGCGAAACGAGTCGAAAACTGGGCATGCAGGGGCAGGCCGTGCCACAAGCTAAGGGAAAAACGAAGAGGCGAGCTACGCTAGGCAGATAGCGGGACCGAGCTCAACGCGGCCAATATGGCGCGGACGGCATCACGAAGCGGCGCAGGGACAACGATTAAGAGGATGCCGGACTGAAAGCCGAAGCAAAAGAGGAGCCCCAGGGCGACGATGACGTAGGCCACGTAGATCCCGGAAGGCGAAGACGGTAGACGTGAACCCACTCAAGTTCCCCAGGTAGCCTGGCAGGTGTGTATGTGCGAAGCGTTCGAAATTCAAACTCCTTCCTGCGACGCTGTTGCACATGCACGGTGGCGGTGCTTGCCGTAGGCAGCTGGATAATCAAACCGGTAGCTAAGAAGCTGTTTCGACACCTTCTCCTCTTCCTTTTCCCACTTCGTCGTCTCCTCAGCCTTGAACAACCAACTGAACGAGTGAGTTGCTCGCGATGCTTCAATCTTGTCTCTGAGCTGGAAAATTTTAATGACAAGCTCTACTGGGGTATCAGTCACATTGTCCTCGTTCGGCATCGTAAGGCCAAGGCGCACGTGCAACTCTGGCCAATCTTTTGCACGTCCCGCGATGCACTCACGAACCAAAAGCTCTTTCTCCACGCTCAGATGCGTTTTGCCTGGGAAGTTCGTGGACGCCTGCTCCTGCTCCTGCTCCTGAGCGTGGTCTTTGTCCAAAAGCTGCTGGTTTATGTGTACGGCGCGGCGCGACGTGACCAGTGGTACGCGCACGGACGCTATCAAGACGAACTGTAAGACTGTACGGGGGAACACCATGGGAAGGACTGGAATTCAGCGCGTTCGAATAAACAACTCCCTGGCACAAGACGGCGGGCTTACACGAATATTTCTTGGCAAACAACCAATGACTCAGCTTGAGCATGTGTGCCCAAATGGCTACGGATCTCGGCGCAGTGTTAGTGCGTGCGGTATGGATAGATCTGCCCTGGCAGTGCCGGAGACTTTGCGCCTCGAAGCTGGCCTGGATGGTCTCCGACGCGTAAAAACGCGTGCGGGGCTCTTCTCCTCCTGGCCCCCGTGGCCTCTCTCGCTCCTCTCCCGGGGTGGCCCCCCGCTTCTCCCTTCTCCTCTGTCGCCCCCCGCTCGTGGGGGGTGCGGGCGGGGGGGTGGAGGAAGAGCGCGGGGTGGGGCGGGCAGCGAGCGCCGCGCGCGCGCCCGCCCGCACACGGGGACATCGAGCTCCCCGCCGAGGACGGCCCCCCCCCCCCCCCGTCCGTTCCCTCTCTCCTCGGGAAGACATGACCTGGAACCCGGTCCCAACTCATCTCATCCATTATTATGGCTGCACGCGCACATGCAAACGCACACACGCGCACACACAACACACAACACACACAGAAGCGGCGGCGAACCTAACATGGTGCCAAGACGTCCGTGTCCTGGACTCGTGGCTTGAGGCTGAGGCTGAGGCTGAGGCAGGAACCGACTGCACGCTCGCCCTCGCAAAAAGTACGCCTGCGGCCAGTCCATGGCACTGCTTCTCCAGCGCTTCCGCATGGTGCCGGGCCTTGGACACCGATAGCTCCGCTGGAGCCACGGCTGCGGTCCACGCAGCGCTGCGTGCTCAGACCGACTCTTGGACTCGTCGCTTGCAGCGGAGCCGTCTTGGAGCCGTCTGGGGGCTCTCGGGGGCTCGCAGGGGCCACCGGGGCGCCGACTGCGCTTTCCCCGTGGCCCGCCTTTCCCGCACGCGCGGGCCCTTGCATTGTAGTAGAGATGACGTCGGGCTCCAGCTTCGCCTCCCACATCTCGCTCAGTACTGACAGCGCGTGTTGCCATTGCCTGCCTTTTCTGCATGCGCTGACAGTCGCAACGCAGTGGCTTGGGAAGAGCTGCGCACCCAATCGAATTCCTTCGCGGAGCAACCGCAGTGCTGCGCTCCATTGTTTTGTCCGGCCGCAATTCTTGATCGACGCTTCGATGTAAATATCGCCTTCTCGAGACCCTCGACCGATTTCCAGCATCCAGCACGACCAGGGACACGCGCTCGATTTGGGCTTCGGGGGAGCGCCGCAGACTGTCCCGGCATGCTGGGCGAGCCGCCTGGCGCCGCGCCTCCAAGGGAGGAGGAAGAGAAGGAGGAGGAGGAGGAGGAGGAGGAGGAGGAGGAGGAGGAGGAGGAGGAGGAGGAGGTGGAGGAGGAGGAGGTGGAGGAGGAGGAGGTGGAAGACCGATGAGTGAACAGGAGGAGCGTGGAGCAGGGGAAGGAGCAGGGAGGGGCAGGGGGCCGACGGGGGAAGGCAGGACGCGAGTGCTGGAGGGTGGCACGCGGAAGCCCCAAATTCGACGCTCCTCCACTACACGCAAGAGTGACCCTGGGTAAGAGTGACCTTTGGTGCGCGGTTTTCTGGGGGCCGCAAGGGGACTAAACACAAGCGCGCAAGACGCTACTACCGCATCGCGTCCGGCGATCGGGGGACCCCATTGGGCCCGCACCAAAGGTCACTCCTGCGAAAGGTCACTCTTAGGTCTCGTCGAGCTCCTCGTGGCGCCTGTGCCGCAGGGCTGAACCTAAACGGTGTTGTTCGTTGTCGTTTTGTTTTCGTTTTCCCTCGCTTGTGTCTCGAATCCGAATTTACCTCAAAACGAAGTCGAAACGAAAACGGCCCACGAAATCGCCAAAAACACCGTCTAGGTGCAGCCCTGATGTGCCGACCCGGGCATGCCTGAGGCACGAGAGGGAGCCAACTCGCAGTGGCGGGGTTGACACTTAGAAGCGGCGGCCTAGGGGTCTGAGCTCCAGAAACCCAGAGAAAGCATGCTAAAAAGGTGGGGATGAAGGCGATTTCGCTCAACGTCGGTCTCCAGACCCAACTTTTCGAGCTGCTTCCAAACCGTGGCGGCCAGGGGGCCCCTTTTCCCCCCTTTCTGCTGGCCAGAACCAGTGCTGAGACACCTCAGCCCCCTAGCCAGCTCCAAATTGTCACCATCCGACTTTTCCCAGACTCGAATCCCCGACCCGCGCAGATGATGTTGGGCGATGCAGCGCACTCACCACGAGATGCCTCCGCGACCGCGCTGGTCGCGCCGGGCCTATGCAGGGCACATCCGTCCTGCAGCCAGAGAGAAAGCATCCCTTGCAATGAAAACACACATCTCAACACATCCCCTGCCCCCTGACTGATGGGCCTGTTTTCCACCACCACCACCACCATAAATTGGAGGGGGGGGGGGTCCTCCTCCTCCTCCTCCTTCGCCCCCTCCTCCTCCTCCTCCTCCGCCTCCTCCTCCTCCTCCTCCTCCTTCGCCCTTCCAACAACATTTGGTGGTGGTGGTGGTGGTGGTGGAAAACAGGCCCATCACTGACATCGATCATTTTCCAATGTGTTGAAAGCCTCGTGCGCGCTGGCCTCTCAGAAACATAACCTCCACAATACGTATTACCTTCACGCCCGGGGCCAAGGGATCTGTTTAAAAGACAAGGTCGCCAACTGACTGACAGTGGCGAGATTCGCGATCAAGGGTCGGGTGAGCGAGAAGGAAATACCTACTGCTCTGGTCGGCCCGAGCGACTGATCATCCCTGCATCCGTGTTCACGGTGCCCTCGGGGCTTCTTAATATACATCGACCGCGGGGCTGTCAAAGCAAGCACTCGTGCTTCTAAGCAGCCGTGCGTCTGTAACAGTACACACAGCTGATAGCACAGAGTAATTGGATGTGCGCATCTGATTATATCCCTCTTTCCATCCTCCTTCCCCTCATGTTGCTCCTCCTGTTCCTCCTCGCTCCCACTCCTCTCTTCCTCCTGCTCCTCCTCGTGTTGATTGCGAGCTGCCAAACTGCAGCGCCGCGCCCGCAGTGCATGCCCAATTCGATGAAGGAGAGCGCACTAGCAGACAGTGATGAGGAGGGATGCGGGGTTGGCAGGGATGTAGGTATGGGTATTTGAAGCAATACCGCGGCAGGAGACCGAGGGGGGGGGGGACATGCCAGGAGGTCGTGTGAGCACCTGGTCAGTTCGGGTCCACATGGAGAACGTTCCTTGTGCCTGCTGAAGGGGG